GCAAAAACAATAATTGATTTTTTTTATTATTAAAGGAGGATCAATGAATTTCACCCACCCCAAACTTTATAAGCAGTTTAACAATATCTTATTAAGATATTAATTACGCAAGTGGCACTCAGCGGTAGAGTTAGGGGATGACAATTTGCAATGGGCTAATATATTGAAGAAAAAAAGAAGAAAATTTCATTAAAAAATATTTTTTACATATGAAAATTTAAAGAGGAAATTAGGCTCAGTACGACCCAATAATTAAAAAAATAGATTAATACACTCGATTAATTATTAATTTTTTCATTCATTTTTAATTAACTGTATATTATACGTCCAAAATGGATTACATACAGCTCCAACCAAACCCTAACCCACTCATCACTGCTACATTGCAACTCCATCCATCATCACACTCTCGAACCCACGTGACTCCATCTATCTCATACCCATGGGTCGGGAGGGCGATAGAAGTGTTTGTGAAACGAAGGGGATGGAGGGGAACGATTGATGGATGTTAAATGAAAAAGAAAAATCTTGCTTCAAAGGCTTACAAACCTAAGATTAAGCTCAATTTGCTTGCTTATAAATCTATGTATGTCTTTAATTCGAATCTCACTTTGAATTGATTCAAAGTTCATTTGTTGTTTTCTTGCTTTGGTTACTGGCTTACTAGTAGTGCGCTTCCGTTGGAATTTTGAACTCGCAATAGTTTTGAAAGCCAAATGCTTAGATCTTTTCGATCGTTTTTGTTCGGATTGATACCACTTCTTGTGACGTCAATCATCGGATTGAGATGTTGAAGTTATATGATAAATAATAATGAAATATATGATCAAGCAAAAGAATAAAAGAAGACAAGAATATGGCACATGAATTATGAGATTTTATTGCATCAAGAGTAATGGAGAAAAGAAAAAAATATTACAATGATCTTAAAAGCTAGTAATCATAAATCTCACATCATAAAATTGTATAGAAGAGTCTAGTATTTATAGGAAACATGTATGAGACGTCGAAGACCTCTTGGTAGAGTTTTTGATGAAATATGATGCCAAAAACTAAGTCCAAAACGAAGTAGGAGAAGGAAAAACGTGAAAAACACACATTTGGGCAGGGAAACTCTCTGCGGGCCCGGCCCGGACCTCTGCCCCTGGGCGCCAGAACCCAGAGCCTAGGCGCCCGCCCGGGATCTGACCATAATTTAATGTGGCGTCTTGGTGCCCGTCCCTCAGGTTAATACTCCAAAAAGTGTCTTTTTCCATCCAAAAGTCCTCGTTCAAGTCGAATTTCTAAATATCATTGAAATTTGATCTTCATAACTTGATATAGGACTCCAGTAGCATTTCAAACTTGAATTATTCATGACGTGTACTTCAATTAGAATTCTTCAATTACTTCAAATACTTCAACAAAGGAATTCGGATCACACCCAAATTCCTACAGTTTCTTGATGTAACTGTCATATCATTTTCTACTTCATGTAATTTTCCAAGTCTTGTTTAGCACTGAAAACATTGTCATCCATTGTTTGTCATACAATGTCAATTGGAATAGTTTACATTTATATGGATGTAATAAAGAGCTATTGTGAAGTAGAAATGGATTTTGTGGTTTGGATCTCGGGAATTGAATCCTAGGTGTTTTTCTTTTTTTGTTTGAAGATTAATTTGTATGTTATATTGTTCTCTTTATTTTTACATTTCCTCGTATTGTTTTTAGATTCTTCTTCTTGTGAGAGGTTCTATGTATTGCTATTTCCATCATATTTCCATCTTTTTAATAGTTGAAAAAAAGTTGTAGGAATGGAAATATCAAAAAATTGTGTTACTCTTCTTACTTCTGTGAAAAAGATTTGATTTGACATTATCTCCATTGAAGGTGTATTTTCTTCCTAAATATTCCTCCCTTCCTTTTTAAGTTTCTTATGCGTATATGGTGTAATTTGACCATATGTGTCATTGCTTGGAAGAAATGTGATCAGTCCATTAGTAAAGACAAGGCCTAGAATCTGCTGTGAAATCTCATACATCGTTATAGCTATTTTGTTTATGAATTTGTAGTGATGTGAAATTATAAACTAATTTAACTTTATTTTGGACGAAATGTTCTTTTACTCTACTAGTTCCATTGAGTTCCTAGTATAAACGTTTGATAGTTTTAATCATAAATAGTTTGATGAGTTTTTTTCTCAATTTTCTCTTGTCAAATATATTGTTACATTCTCGAAAATGGGGTTAGAGGTTTTCGTTTTGTTGAAGGCCAGGAACTTGATAACTGATGTGTTTAAGATGCTTTTGGAAAAAAATTCTAGCATACAATTATTTAAAGAGATCTTCAATTATAATTGATGTTCAAAATTATGTCACTTTTTAGAGTTTTATTACTTTTTTTAGTTTTTGCCACTTTTTTGAATTCTTATTACTAAATATTTTCTAAATCCAAATTTATATGGTAGTTAATAGAAGTAAAATATAATCACAAAGATACAATATGCTGAAGAAAATCAACCATCAACTTTATCCATTCCAAGGTTTTGATGATATCAGTTAATACTTTTTTACCGTGTCATTGTTTTTAATTTTTTAAGTTTTTGTCACTTTTTTTAGTTCTTGTTACTTTTTTGAATTTTTGTTACTTTTTTGAATTTTTATCACTTTTTTGAATTTCTTTATTTTTTTAGTGTTTGTCACTTTTTTTAATGACAAACGCAACTTTTTAATAAAAATGACATACATTTAATAAAAGAATGTTTTAATTGGTTTTTTGTCATTTTTTAGAATTATTGTCACTTTTATGAATTTTTTTCACTTTTTTTTAATATTCGTCACTTTATTCTGTTACTTACTTGAAATTTATGTCACTTATTTTAGTGATAAACATTACTTGAACATTATTTTTAAATAAAAAGTGACACTCAACTTTTAAAAGTTACATTGTGTCACTTTTTGAGTGATACTCAAATTTTACGCGGTATTTTTTACTTCCAAAATACTTTTATATGATTTTTCAAAAGATCTCTAATTTTAAGGGTATTTTTTTAAGTTGCCCTAATTTAAATGGGTTTGTGCTTCCATGGGCTCTACCCACTATGTAGGCCTCTATCATCAATGAATTTTTGATTAATTACGATCAATGATCACTAAAGTTTATTTTTTACGGTAATAACACTCAAGTTTTTAAATGTTACACTAATGGCTACTCAGTCAAAAAAATTAACATCGAATCATATATGACACCATTAAGTACAAATATGTCACAAAACGAATTTATTTATTACGCTAAGTTAGCAAATTGGGGAGTTAGGAATTGGAGATTAAACATGTCCAAATGAGAAAATGCAATCCAAATTTAGTTTTGATCAGATTTTTGGACATAAATCTTAGGATCCGTTTGATTGTAAGAGTGGAATTTAGGTGAAAAGAAAATGAATTCTAAGGAATTGATTTGCCTATAATTGTTTTCCTGGGAATTGTCAATTAATTGTGTTTGATTAGTATAATTTTTCACGTGGAAAATATTAAAATTTTGTATCTTTTGGTGTTCGTTTGATCTTATTTTATACGAAAATTGTCCATTGAAAAGATATAATTTGTTATAATTGGGTATATAATTTATTTCCATTACTAAAAAATAATAATAATAATAAAAGGTGGAAACCATTGTCCCACCAAAGTGGTGGAAAAACGAATTCAATGAAAACCAAGACAAGGAGGTCACGTGGGGGTTGGGAGGAAAACCAATTGCGAAGAAAATTTTGCCTATCAAACATTGTAAAAGATGGAAAATGGAAAATGATTTCCAAGTTCCATGAAAAATGAAAGATATCAAACAGGGCCTTATAGTAAACCCACTTTTTTTTTCCAACAATAATATTCGCTGACTCGACATATAAATAATGTTATTTGACGACCATTGGTACTTAATGATGTCACATATGATTTAATTACTTTCATGACCAAGTGACCAGTAAGTACGATAATTAAAACTTGAGTGATTAAATAACTTCAGTGTAATTAATCCCATATTATAGTTCAATATTTTGTATGTTGATTACTGTTTTTATATTTAAGCAATGTAAATTTTACCCTCACAATTTTGTATATGGGTCCATGGCTTCCACTTGCACACTAAAATTTCTAAAAGCTTGGCGTGGAAATTTTGTTCTTCATAGCCTCCAATTGCCAGAGAAAGGTCATAAAATAGTAGTAAAATATATAAGTACAACTAATCCAAAATTTTCTTTAAACTATTAATGTAGAAATTTACTAAAGCTCATGAAATATTTAGCGTACTTAACATTGTCCAAGAAGATTGCAGTTGCTCATCCTAAGACATGATTTGTTGTAAAATTGAAGTTGGCACACATTGTACCATGTGCTAAAACTGAAGAACTAAATTCTAGTCTATTGTTGTTTAGATCAAACTGCAGCAAATTGTCCTCCATTTGATGCCCTCCAATCACGACCGCAGTCCTCATGTTGGCCCCACCATCCAAAAACCCAAGACACCACACGTCGTTTCCTTCACGCACAATCCTGACCATCGAATTTGATCCAAAGATTCTCCAGAACACATCATCACTTTGCATAATGAGATCAATGGTTGCAACAGCTGGTCCTAAACGTGTGTCACGAACATCGTCTGCATCATAACACACATTGAACGGTTTCACTGGTTCTGTTATGGTGAGATTGAGCGCAGCTGATTCATTTACAAACTCCTTGGTGAAAGCCTTTAAAATGATAGAATGTAGCATAGTGTATGGAGTTACAGTACTCAGCTTGGTCCCACCAAGCCATTTGCATCGATATTGAGAAGCGTATGATCAAATTGTACAACTCTTCCATTGACTTTTATGGAAATCAAACCAATGAAATACTCAGCGGAGGGGTACCGATAAATTTCTAGAGAGCTTCTCAACGGATTCGACGGGAGTGGAGTGTAAATAAGATATTTTGAAAGGTCACTTTGGGGATAAAAATAGTATGGTCCACTAGTACCCAAGAATACCAAACCCGGAGCTGAGGGTGAACCGGATAGGCAAAGTGCAAATAAGTTAGGAGAAGAGACGGTGTTGCTAATCTGCGCTGAGAGAGAAAAGTTAGACCGATCCAGACCAACTATGCCGGCCACCCCTTTAACGAGGCCTTTAAGTAAAGACTTCTGTTTGGAACATGAGAATATGAACTCGGGGACAGCACCGAGTTGTCCTGGGTTACGTCCATCGGTGTGGGGTAGAGAAAGCCAATCAGTCAGCGCATTCGCCATTGCTGACCTCCGAGTCACTGAGTTTTCAGGGAAGAGTATGCACGAGTCATTGGAACAACCCGGACCTAGCAAACCGAAGCAGTTGGACCATGCATGTGAACCAAGCGAATTACAAAGAGAGGAACTGCACGGAATGCCCTTATACGTAAAGGAATTGTAGTTATGGGTACACTCAACCCAGGTAAAAGTGAAGAATAATACATTTTCCTTTTATTGCTTATTCTTTTCCTTCCTTTACTCACGTGCTTTGCACATTTTCTGTTAGTTAGTTTTCTTGCCTGGACATGTGTCCATTTATCATTGGTCATTGCTTTATATATATATGCTTAAACCTCTATGTTTGAATAAGATTTTGGTGAAATACAATTGAGAAAATGCAGCTTGATTTGCTGCACCAATCTTCTTTTACAAAATTGAACATGGTATCAGAGCGGGTTACCCAGATCCAGAGCTTGCTCATCTAAGCTTCCACCAAGTTGATTCGAAATCAGAAAATGGATATTTGCCATCGCACATGAGCATGATAATCCATTGCCCATGGAACAGGGATCACCTGGAAAGGATTACAACAATGGAGATCCTTTAGATCTCAGATCATCCAGGAATGATATTGTTAACTTCACCTCTAACTGGAAAGAACTACTTGAGTTGGAGTAGATCAATTAAAATCGCACTAGGAGTAAACTGAAATTGGGATTTATAGATGGGAAATGTGAAAGACCAGCTGAAGAATCTTCGAAATTCGATTAGAGTAGACTGTATGGTCAGATCGTGGATTTTGAATTCAATTTCGAAGGAGATTGTAGATGCATTCATCTACACAACCTCAACTAGAGATTTGTGGATTGAGTTGGAGGAGAGATATGGGGAATGTAATTGTCCCTTACTATATCAGTTGCAAAGAGAGATTAGCAGCCTGACTCAAGGAACACTCTCAGTTGAAAGATATTTCACTAAACTAAAGAAACTGTGGGATGAAATCACGTGTTTGATGCCTATTCCAGTTTGTACCTGTGGAGCTGTGAAGGAGGTTTTTGATTTAGCCTCATTCAACAAACTTATGCAATTTTTGATGGGGTTGAATGATACCTATGATAATATCAGAAATCAACTATTGGTTATGGATCCTTTACCATCAGTAAATAGGGCATACTCCATAGTTTTAAGGGTTGATAAACAAAGGGAGGTACATGTATTATTTCCAGAGACTAATGACAATTTAGCCATGATGGCAATGGGAAATAATTACAGAAATAATGGATCCATAAGAGGAAGAGGAAACTGGAATAACATATTTAATTCAGGAAGAGGAAGTAGTTACTTTGGAAGAGGACACAATAAGAGATTAAGTAATTTGGATAAAGAGGTATTAATCTGTGATTATTGCAATGGAAATGGACACTCAAAGGAAGCTTGTTTCAAACTGATTGGTTATCCGGATTGGTACAAAGGACTAAAGGAGCAAAGAGCTAAGGATTTTGGAGGAAGAAATATGATAAACAATGTGATGAATATGAGTGATTCACCACTTGATTTTGAAGAAAAGGCAACATCAGTGAATCAGAAGGGTGAAACATCATCTGGGAATATCACGAACATAGTACAATAGGAATTGATTAAGATGCTCAGAGGAAAACTACTAGTCGACAATGGAAATCAGGTCAACTTTGCACATCTTAACAATTATTCTGGTATGTGTACTCAACATTTGGCCTTTAATTCGCTTGATGATTTAGTATGTAACACTTGGATAATTGATACTGGTGCCAGTATTTAGCCAAATGACTGATGTGAAACCTGTAACACAATCTACCTTTATTTGCCTACCTGATGGATCTATTAAAGATGTTAAACACACTGGACCCATCACCATTAATGGAAAACTCTTTTTAACTAATGTCTTACATATTCCCACTTTTAAATTCAACCTCTTATCTGTTCCAAAATTGACTCAATCAGCTAATATTAAATTCACTTTTTACCCGACTTATTGCTCCCTAAAGGACCTGAAGAATGATAGAACTCTAGCAATTGGAAAACTGAATGGGAAGTTGTATACATTGGATGATTTTAGTTTTCAGATTACTGATAATGAAAATTGTAATAGAGAGGTTAGTAGTTGTAATAAATTCTCGACTGGGAATCCTTTACCAGCTGATGATACTTTTTTTTGTCAATAAAACTACCTTTATTTATCTCATTGATTGAGACAATAGACTGGGACATGCCTCTTATTAGTGTTTGCAGCATTTGGATTTCCTTAATCAATTTTGTAATGCTTCAGCCATAAAAAATTTGCAACCATGTGATGCTTGTCACAAAGCCAAACAGAGCAGGCTTCCTTTTCGAAACTCTCAGATTCATACCACATCCACATTTGTTCTGCTACACATTGACATTTGGGGTCCTTATAAACACTATACTCCTACAGGAACTCCTTATATGTTGACCATCGTGGATGATTATTCTAGAGCCACTTGGACCTTCTTACTGATCCAAAAATCCCAGGCTATTAAAACTCTTGAATCATTCTTTAAAATGGTCCAGAC